GTCTGTGATGGCAATAATGGCATTCGCAACAATTTGTGCTTATGCGTGACCTCACGGCCAATGAACGTCTAATTAAATGAGCTATGACAAGAAGTGTGCCAGTTGTATTACACACCTATAGTCAGAATTGATCGGCGGCGAGACCCGAAATGACAGCCACGAGAGAACGGGCATGGCTGACTACGAATTAATTTAAATAACGGCTCATAGAAGATCGACAGATTGTAGAGAATTGAGTGGACAATCATACGAAATTTAAAACACATTAGCGCCAATAACTGTACCATCTACATAGCAAGTTCTTTTAACTTGCTAGTCTGCATTCGACGTTTGTGGTAGGTATAATCAAGAGATTACGTCCATAAAATGAAATAGAAAATATCCTAGAATAATACATCATTGCCATTGGGAGGAATGTAGCACTTCCATTGCTTTTTAGCAGTCTTCAAAGAAATTATATTTCGTAATTCAATTGAGTCAAACGCCTGGTTATCTTGAAATATTGTATCTATAAGTTGCTTTGTAATATTTCAAAAATACATTATTTGTGAAAACCCATAAAGAAAGTGCTCAAAATAATAGCCGTTTTATACGAATTACAGAACTATTGAGATAAGTGGAGCCCACTCACATTACAGCCGCCCCTCTGTATAGGCAAAAGACATCGGCATAAGTCGTGCAGTTACTTTGGATCTAACATTTTGTTTTACTTTGAATGAATGTTTTATTTTCTTTTGAGGTGCAATTGGTGTCGCTCGGCGGCCGGGCATTGGTCGCGGCGCGGCCGCCTCGCGCTGCGCTCTGCGCCGATTGGCCGCCGAGCCGGCGTCGGCGCGTATTTACAAATTGCAACCGAGCTCCGCCGTAGGGTATTTTATTTCCGCCGTAGTGTATTTCACTTGAGGGATTTTCTACCATACATTTGCCTGAGCTTAGGGTAATTACAATTTGTCGGCGACGTTCGAAAATGATGCACCTTTTTTCGCAGTATAGGATATCGCATGCGCATATTTCTGCCTTGTTGAGTGCGCTTTATCGGTTTTTTCGTGAGTAACTCGCGTAAAAACCGTCCGATCGCGACGAAACTTTCAACACCCCCGATTTTATCAATTTTACACCTACCCTGAAAATTTCATGACCCTGACCCAAATGACCTTTGACCTGTGACCTATTTCTCGAGACCATGTTTGGCCCGAATCGCGATTCGGCGTATGTCGGCTCGCATTAGCCGCGCGGTTGCAGTTTTCACGTGGTTTCAAGCGTTGAAACATGTGATATGATGCTGGTCCCATGCATTAGGGTGGGTGTCAAGGTCACCTGAAGGTCAGGTCAGCTCAACGACCTTTGATGACCTCGGTTCACTTTTTCGAGTTTTACATGTTTCTAGGCTAGTTTTTGGAGCTGATTTCGAATTTAGCAACCATTTGAACATCACAGCGGGTGTAACGAAATTATCCAGACACCTTTCTTCCCGCTGTAAAAGCAAAACAATCTGGTACTTTTTCTTTTAACCCGCGCCCTGCTGGGGGGGGGGTGTTTGAACACCCCTCCCCCTTGTGGTTTTTCGCGAATATCTCAAAAACGGCGGCGCGGAGCGCCGCCGTTTTTGGTACACCTTATCATACATCAATTCTACACATGTTGTGAAAATTTCAGACCAAGGTCATTCAAGGTCAGGTCAACAGGTCACTTGAAGTGACCTCACCTCATAAAAACTTTCAATGTATGTCATAGCTACACCGAGTGACCGATCGCTTTGAAACTTTCAGCGATTGCTAAGAGCAATAGCATGTACAAAATGTATATCTCAGAATTTTGATATCGATGACCTAAGGTCAGGTCAATTTTGCGACCTCCCCATTATAAGTCAAAGGGAGAAAATTGAAATGCGCCTCTTTTGGATGAAAGACATTATAAACACTCCCAAACACCGAATTACAAGTGGTTTAGACACACTGAACATGACAATGGTGTCCGTGACCCTTGTTTATGCCCTGAGGTCATCTTAGGTCACGAATGGTATCTAACAGTTTTTCGCAAATAACTTTTGATAGAGGCATGCTAGAGCGATGAAAACGCCTTAAATGTGTTCAGCTCGACGATACGGATCGACTGATATGCAACATGACCCTTTCCGGTCAGGTCATGACCTTGACCTGAGGTCAAATTTTCAAGTTGACCTTTCAAGGTCAAATTATAGTTCATTCGATGCGTCTTGATGAGAGGAACACGATGCCTGTAAAAGTAAGCTCGTACAAGGCTTGGGTCAAAAGTTATTGCAGAAAAACTGTTTTCGAAAAAAAATCGGCTATTTTTGCATTTTTAGCCCCCTGCAGGCAAAACCGTTGACGTTAGGTCAAATCTGAGAGAATTACTCAGAAAGGGCGTTAATAGGGCTATCGAATGCGCTTTTCCGCGGCGCTGTAGCTCTATTGATTCCCGAGTTATGCGTTGGCTTCTTGGAAATTTTCGACATTCGACCTGGAAATCGGCGAAATTTTGCCTTCAATGACCTCTGGTGACCTGACCTTTGACCTGACCAAAAAATTGACCGAAGTGATTTCGTCATTATTTTTGACGCTCTTTCGAACGCCGCCTTCCCCGTATCGCTGCGTGGCCCAGGAGACGAGTTACAAGGGGGGTGTTCAAACACCCCCCCCCCCCGCCAGCAGGGCGTGGAAATCCAGGACCCCCAGCCGGGCGCGGGTTAACTGAGCTTGTAGCCACCTTTCATAAAAACACAGTTTACTCACCTCGTTGGTTTCTGCATATCTTTGGAGTGGTTTCAAAGGACAGTCAGAGAGGAAATGAGGAACCCACACAGTGGCGAATGTTCTGGAGCATTTCAGCCAATGGATTCTCCAGCACACTGGCTTTGATGCGGACCAACGCCGTCTAAACCTGTGCCTGCGGTTGAGCAGTGCTTATGGCGGGTGGCTCTTCATAAACCTCCTGCTGAACAAGAGCCCACAGGTTTTCGATTGAATTGGGATCGCGTCCGCGACTTTTTCCAAGTCATAAGCGTTAGCCCAGAATGATTGAAGGTTCTATCGGCATCACTTCCCGTTCTTTTAGGGACTTTTAAGCAGCGCGCCGCCACGCATGAAGACAGCGTGGCTTGAATCAGGCATCAGTGCGCGTTAAGAAACCGTGCCCTCCTATGCCGTCTGGTTGAGCGCCTCCAATCATGCTCCACCACCTTCCCTGGAAAAGCTCCACCCTTGCCTATGGGGTAAAATATAAGGGACAAAAACACAAAACAAGACAGATAAAAACAAAGCAAAATTAACTCATTACCTAATGAAATTCAGGCTGGAGCAAAAACATAGGTAATAGGTTATGACGATTTAGAATGAAAGATTAAAATCAACCTGACCAGGCCTTACGGTCCGACCGGGTCCTAACCACCTTACATACTTCGCCTAACTTGACCCAGTTCAACCTAGCCTACCACAACACCTGCAGAGTGCAGAGGTACCTTCCTGGAAAAATGACGCCCAGGGAGATGACTGTCCAACTTATTGAAATACTACCATGATTGCTTGTCAAAATGTGTGTCATCATGCTCTTGTTTGACAAGTGATGTATAATAAATGTGATATTCAATAATTACTCCTGACTGTTGACTGTTGACTTGTTGAGTTATCAAAATATTCAAATAATCAGGGTACAATCCTGTGCATAGTGCACACTAATCATGTTGTTTTTGTGTAGGCCCTCTGCACATTGTTGTGTGTACTGCTATGTGCACCTAAGTAAAAAAGTGACTGGTGGTACATGACAAAAGGTTGAGCAACTGTGAAGTTCATGCCCTTGGTCTTGCTGGTGCCAAATGCCTATAGCTAGGATCAGTGAGGGTTGTAGACATGCTACATACATTGTGCATTGAAGACATTGGCACAAAGTTCATCCGTAATTACTATGCTTAACACCTAATGCAAGAAGCGACATAAATGCCCAGATGATAAAGCTCTCTGGTCAACATCACACAAATTTATTGACATACTTTGCAGGTACATATTTACATTCATGGCAAATACTTTCGATTTGATTCAGAAACTAGTTGCTAGTAAGCTTGCATTTTTGTAGGCACATCATGGCATTCATCAATACCTTTCTACCAAACAAGTACCTTATACCTAGCTTCCATGCAATGATTCTAAAATTTGTCCGCAATCCATCTATATATCAACTGACACAATGAATTTCAAATACCCTAACAAAACCTATAACTGTACATAAGAAGAATGCAATACTACAAGAATTGTGAATTTCTGAAGTTATTCTCACATGCTGAATGTTGAAACTCTACTTTTGTCGTCCATTTCCATGTTTGATTGAGCCATCATATAGAACTGTTTCCGTTCTACAGTCACAAGCTTTCCCACAAATCTTGAATTTTTACACATCATCTTGAACCATGCTCCAGTCTTTCCAACAAAGCAATTTTGATTTGTTGCAACAGCTTCAGATCATGATATGCTTGAGGTTTGTTACACCATTTGTCAGACAAATCTCTACAAAATGTGTATCAATTCCCAAACTAAGTAATTGATCATATCAGTATTTGCAGTTTCCACACAATGTTTCATAATACTATTCTATGTTTATATAAAGAAACTCAAATAATCCACAAATTGTTATTGAAACACTCCCACTTCAAGAATTCACAGCAATAACAGTACAAGTTCAGAAGCAAAAAAACATTGCGCCACATTTCGTATGAAACGCGCCATCGCCCTGAAGTTTCTACCACAGACGGTAGTTCGACCGCAGCCGTAGTGCGAAAACCCCTGCCCACCTTACCCCACGGCGGAGCTCGGTTGCAATTTGTAAATACGCGGCGTCGGCCGGCCCCCCAGCCGTGTTCCCAGAACCGGCAGACCGGCGCCCGACAGGCGGCGCCAAAACCTCGCATTGGTGCATCTATTTATCGACATTATATAGATGTATGTATATACAGAGCCGGTCACGGCAGCACCGCTTGGCCATAAAGCCTGCGGGTGTCGACGAGTAGTCCAGCAGACGGCGAACGGCGGCTGAGAGATAGAGGTCTCCTCTCTGACTGACTGGAGCAGATTGTCTCATTCAAACCAAGAGGTGAGGGGGAGGGGAGGGCGGCCACGTGGGATGGCGCCCACTGATCATGCCGCCTCGGCGGTGCAAAGTGCAGTGGTCTGACCGATATGGGTACAATCAATTATGCCATTAGCTGGGCGTTGAATAGTGTGTAATCAACAACAATGAAAATGCTGATATGTAAGGGTGGATCACTCATCAGAAATAAAGCCGTTCGTGATTTGCATCTCATTTTTGTCTGTACATTTATATGTTGCACATCGTACATTTTATATTCCTCAAATACAGCAGAATGGTGGGGCTGTATGCATGCATGTAGAAGCAGCTATCTGTAGTTTCCAAGCATTATTTTATTTGATGTGTTCGCAATTACTGATGGAACAGTTATAAATCCACAATAAAACTATGCTGTTCTACAACCATCCACTGCTAAGGTACGATTCGATTGTCTGCAAACTTGGTTATCAATAGTGACTGAAAGATGGTTACGGCGAAGGCAGAAGGCCGATAACCATCGGCGAACTACGTTTACGGCACAGGGTGCATTTCGTCGCCGTTAAAACGTTGCATGCTTAGGTATAGGCCATCTTTCTGTCGCGAGGCGTGGCGAGACGCCGAGAAAATAACTTTTATCAGGGAAGCAAAATTCTAATACCCCTTTTAATGAGATCGATGGCTGTCGAGCGTCGAGTTAATAGGCGCATTCGGATGCTTATACAGACCATTGTATAGGTACAATGTACATGTGCAGACACTATAATATTTAGTGCCTACACATGTACTGTTGTCTAAAAATAGAAAGATAATCAGCACGGATTGGGATTGTGAAAATCAATGCAATTACAGCAATTAATTCGTGAATAATGAAAGGAAACGGCCAGGACCATTTGATAAATGAACTTACTTGTAGTGAATGAAAACATTGTTCTAGAAAAACTGAAAGCGCTAAACAAAGTCGATATTTATCCCACCATTTACAAGGGGAGAGTTTAACGTTATTTTTTACACTGTTTAACACACCTGCCGATTATTCACATTAACTTGATAGCTTATGTAGTCGCCGTAAAATATTTTCCTTTTTCTGTAAGAACTTATAATTAGCTGCAAATTTTTGGTTCGGTTCAATAGAATTGATGATAACCGAATTTCTGACGGCATCGAATCTTAGTTCCGGCAAAAATGTAGTTAGCTCACCAATCCTATCCAAGGAGTAGGTTTCTATTCTACTCTTATTCTTAAATAAAAAACAAAAATCTATCTAAGGACAAAACAAAGGCTTTACCAATTGGCTTTCTTAGGACTTAAAGAAATAGCTTTCAACCCTTTCCAAAAACTATTCGGTTATGCGAGTAAAGAAGACACTTATGTAATATCTTCACCAGCTTTTTTTCATTGGTAGGTAGGTACTCAATCAAGAACTGTCTCGATAAAATCATATCTTCATTCATTCATTGAATATGCACAATTTGACTTCACCTAGACCTAAAGAAAGATCCAAATAGTAAATCATCTGGCTTCGATTAAACCAAGTACCAACCATCTAGTAAAATTCCATTAAACAAAGGTTAGGCCGTCAGCGGCGAAATGCATAAAAATTCAGATACGTTTTGTGAATTTTTTTCTTCAATAATATTTCACTTTTTGACCTTAACGTCTTTCACGTTTCAACCTTCGTGCAATAGCTTTATTATAAGCATCATGTTTCATAGTAACTTAAAACTTTCTATGGTTTCTATGGTGGCTTTCTTTTCTATGAATACTTCCGATTAGTTCACGGACTTGACGTTCGATGTCGTGAACTAACCGTCAGTAATCATCTTACACATACCTAAATCTATTCGCATTAGGTACGGATTAATCTTATATCACTTTTTAGCGCTAGCAGAGGTAAGCTTCACCACCACAATTGGTTGCAGTTTAACTATAAAGTCCACTCACCATTGCAAAAACTGTACCTAAAACGAGGACCATGTCGCATCTACTTGAGAATCATTAAACTTTCTATCAATATTATCACTAGTAAACCGGACGCGGGAAAGAAGGTCGGGTGGCAGTTTCGTGGTACCTTTCGCAACGAGCACCGCTTAGTGTGGCACTCGAGCCCAAAAGCCACTCATTCATACATTCTAAATTTCTAAAAACAAATACACGAACAAACAAAAACCTCAGTCTTCCCGGGTGATCCGCGGTCTGACGGTGCTTCTATATCTGTCCGGCAGATGGCAGCAGTACCGATGGTGAACCTGCGGGCGGCGACACGGCGCGTGGTGGTGACTGGTATCGGTCTGGTCACACCGCTCGGCTGCGGCACAACCGTCACCTGGAACAGGTCAGTAGACCTACCGGAGGAAGTCCGCTGACCTCTGACCCCTGGCGGCTGAGCGAGAGTCATCGTCAAAGAGATAAATCTGAGGACAGCTGGACACACTGATTGTAACGGGAAACGGATCTTTCCTGCCCAGCCACACAACGAAGTTTAAGTAGCTTGGATTTTCTTGCATCGTCACTTTGTTAAACTTCTAGCGGCTCAATGACTCTCAGTTCATGCTCGTCTTTCGTCGCAGGTGACCTCTCTGTGGTCCATCAGCTATCTCGTCACGTGCTTCTGCTCGCCTCACCCTCCCTCGGCCACACCAGCTCACCTGTCCTCTAACTCCGTTCCAGATTGCTGCGGGGCGACGTGGGCACGGTGGCGGTGGACGCCCGCGAGTACGAGCAGTCGCGCTCGCTGGTGGCGGCGCTGATCCCCCGCGGCTCCGAGCCCGGCCAGATGGACATGGCGGCGCGCTTCAGCGAGGCAGAGCGGCGCGTCATGGCGCCGGCGGTGCGGTACGCGCTGCTGGCCGCCGAGGAGGCCGTCCAGCAGGCCGGCTGGGCGCCCACCACCGAGGAGCAGCAGGTATATATGGAGCACGGACGGGTGACTGCCTGAGACCAGAGCGTGGGGCAGCCGAGCAGTGCGCAGCCGGATCGGGACTTTAGAAATAACACTTGATGCACGTACAAATTAAAGCAATTTCATTTCATACTGCCTCTTCGTGTACAGGACAAAGATAAAAATGAATTAAAATTCACGTGATTATGGTAAAAAATTCGCGTTTTAAACTATCTCAATAGCAAAATGTTTGTCAAAGATAACGATGGTCTATCAATGATCAGCCTATCAACGGCGACTACCAGCTCCAGGTCGATAACGTCCCTCCCCCGTCCCCGCAGGAGCGAACCGGTGTGGTAATGGGCATCAACATGACGGACACCCAGGAGATCATCAGCACCTCGGACCAGTACGGCGCTGGCGGCGGCGGCGCAAACAGCATCGGCAGGCACTTCATCCCGCGCATCTCGCTCAACATCGCCGCCGGCCAGCTCAGCATGCGCTACAACTGCCGCGGCCCCGTGCAGACATGCTCCAACGCCTGCGCGACGGGCAGCTACGCCGTCGGCGACGCCTTCCGCTTCATCAGGGACGGCTACGCAGACGCCATGCTGGCAGGATCGGCAGACGCCAACGTGTTCCCGCTGGCGATGGCTGGCTTTTGCCGGCTTGGCGCGCTCAGCACCGCCTACAACAGCGATCCGGCGCACGCGTCGCGGCCATTCGACGCCGCCCGAGATGGCTTCGTGCTGGGCGAGGGCGCCGCTGTGCTGGTGCTGGAGTCTCTGGAGCACGCGCGCCAGCGCGGCGCTGAGGTTCTGGCAGAGGTGCTCGGCTTCGGGCTCTGCTCGGACAGCTTCCACGCCACGGCGCCGCGGCCGGACGGCGACGGCTCGCGGCGCGCCATGGCGCTGGCGCTGCGGGACGCCGGCCTGCCGCGAGAGGCCGTCACTCATGTGAACGCACACGCCACCGCCACGCCAGTCGGTGACGGCATTGAGGCGCGCGTGCTGCGCGACCAGCTGCCGCACGCGCCGCTGGTATCGGCTATCAAGGGCGCGCTGGGACACATGATGGCCGCTTCTGGAGGCGTGGAGGCGGCCGTGACGGCTCTCAGCTGCCAGCATGGCCGCGTGCCGCCCATCGCCAACCTGACCCAGCCGGACGTGGACGGCATCGACTACGTGCGCGACGAGCAGCGTGAGTGGAGCGTCTCGCACGGCCGCAGGATCGCGCTCTCCAACTCGTTCGGCTTCGGCTGTGTCAACACGTCCCTCTGCATCGCTGAGTTTCAGGACTGATGACTGCCAGGGCGGAGAGTGACCGGAGGTGGTCAGATGAATCTCACTGCTGTCGCCGTTCGAAGGATATTTTCGATGGATATTCCGATGTTGACCTATGACGTTACACTTGTAATGCGGCGGCAGGTACGCCGCTGTTGATGGGATAATCACGAGTGCTAATAAGCATGAGCAGCGAAAATCCCATAAATTCACTCATTGTTCAGATTATGATATTTCTTGTGTTGTTGTCACACTTTGTTAGTAGGTAAGCGATGTTGACGTCACTTTCAATCTCGATTATTTATGAGCAGATATATATGATATTTATGACATGACGATGGCGATGTTCACCTGACTGTGTCGTTATTGAGCTATTAACCTGTACTATTGTCTGATGACGTGTGTTACCGACGCACATTCTCCATGAGGTTTAATAGCCAGTGATATTTTAGAATACATGTTGAAACATACAATATAATATCTGTTTGTCATCGGAGAACGGTAAACAAGTATGTATAACTGTTACTAACCTAGCTTCGATACGAAAATAGTTTCGACTGCATTTAGCTATATTATATCAGCTGTCTAGCGTCATGCATGTCAAACCCGATGCCGATGGTGGGATATACATGGACACAATCACGAATACGGAACGAAACGAAATTATAGAGCTGGACATTGCCCTCAAACAAACCTGAATATTTGCCCGACCGAATAATAATAAAAAAATCCGGCGGTTCACCCCGGGACAAAACAATTTAACGTGCCTTTCTCGAGCGCAGGTATCGCACAAACGACCATTAGGTACACAACGTTTTTGGCTCCTATACCCGATGGACCCCGAAACACTCAGTGGGTGTCGCTATAAAATGTTCCACGGCGTGCGCATATACTCAGGGCCAAGAAAGAAACTGGGCCGTTCAACACTGAGCAGTGAACATTTCAGAACTCATCGTTGAGCCGGCATTGTCGACGACTACTGACGTCATTTGGCTCGTGTTATTATATATCAGCTTTCCTATGCATGGTCGCATACTCTCACACTGTGATGAAAGCATTCTGCACACAATGCCAGCTGAACGCGGTAGAACAAGGCGGCCCGCAAATATGATGAATTATTACTACAATTAACATTATTATTATCACAACACTCTTTCGGCTTTCAGGGGCAATCTGAGTGGCGCTCTTCGTCTCCTTTGCCCGTGCCACGACATCGCAATGACCGGAGAAGTGTTTCAACAAATCATATTCAATCAACCGTGAAGTCCTCTAATAAAAAAATCGAGCGTAAAAACGTAATAAGAAAGATCACACAATGAAGAACATTTGGCGACACAAAAATCAAACTCATTAATAATTGAATTTATTCTTACTTACCTACATGATGTATTCTTACAATTCTTACAACCCTTAACACTATACCTACCTTACGAGTACCTATACCTACATGCAAAGTTGTGAGAATGTCTGATAGAACGGCATGATTACCTATGTAGAAATCAGATTAGGTATATCACGCGCGACCTGACCCACTCCGCGCTTAGCGTGGGCTTCGATTCTGCCAATCCGTTCATTCGAACAGTCGAGCCTAATTTATTATGAGAAAAAAAAACACACACACACCTTTGAGCCTCTTCAACAAAATGTGATCCACTCAAATCAAGCACAGCTCAAATCATTCTGTGCGTAAGCTCCGTGCCCATCACCACTGAGATCATCATCCTATCGATGTGCTTACGCAATTTTATGGTATTTTTTTTTTTGAAGATATGTGCTTACTGCTTACGCACATCGACAGCATGGGCCACAGGAGCAGAGCCGCTCAATATGTTTACGAACAACAATGACTTCACTTGTTCCCTCGAACACGTATGACGTATGTGGGTATGTGCGCACGGTAACGACACACCTCCACGAAATTGGTTCTCCCAGGCAGCAATGGTCATAGACCAAGGCATCCGAGACCCGCGAGGTCCTTAACAGGCCAAGCCGACCCATACACACGGTATATGAACCTTTGGCGTAGTGCGGGCTAACGTATTGCGCGCGTCGGAGGAGCAAACAATTTTCCAGCGACGCGTTACCAGCAACGGAGCAGCAGTCGGTCGGTGGAGTACGGTCAGCGTGGTAATTGTCCATTAGCAGTCGGTGGTCAAGTGTTTCTGAAAAGGTGAGCTCCACGAGTCACATGAATGGGGAGTCAAACGTCATAGACAATGCGCACAAGGAACACGGTTTGGATATTGGATGGCTTCCACTGCAACTCAAGAGGTATAAACCATTTAATGGTAGTGTGCATAAGAAAGTAGGCATACAGCGTTAACTGGTAGCTGTTTAAAAAAAGAAGAATATGCTAATCGTGTCGTGCGACAATGCCGCCAGTTGGTGAAATACGATGGAATCGGCGTTCTTGCCGCCGCCGCTCCAGGTAGACTGACCCGCATGCTCGGGATGCTTTGCGGGCTAGCCTTTATAACGTAGGCGCGAATTCAGGGCTTTCTAGACCTTCTGATTTAGTTAGATGAATTTCGGTGGCTTGTCATTCGATTTCTGGTGTAATACGAATGAGTGGTTGGTACTTACGGACGCGTGAACAAAGCAAATGCGTATTGGCAATAATAAACAGACTTGCGACAGATGCTCAATATTTGATACAAAATTGTTAGTAGGTAACGCGATTTGTTATGCCTTAGATGTAATCATCTGCAGTGTGCACGTGCACGTGTATGTATGTACGTGCAGAATCTGCACGTACATACATACACGTGCACGTGCACGTACATATGTGCAGATGTAATCGTGCAGATCGTATGTGCACTGTGCAGTATGTTATTTGCCTGAAAATGTCAAAAATGGTGAACGATGCCTCTTACAGACTCGCATTGAGCCGATACCGATACGCAGAGCGATATGCGTTGAAAAATTGAACATATGCTTTACCTAAGATGTTTTCTGAAACCAAATATGCCTATCTATATATGTTTAGAGTTTAATATATGATTTCAAGTTTTTACGACTAGACATCTTAATTCAAGGTAGGTACGTTTTTTCGGCTACTAGCCGTTTATTGTTTTCGTTTCGGATTTTCGACCTTCACATCGAGGTCGTTGTCAAGAAACATATGCATAACAATGACATATTGTTACATGTTTCTTGACAACGACCTCGATGCGAAGGTCGAAAATTCGAAACGAAAACAATAAACGACTAGTAGCCGAAAAAACGTACCTACCTTGGATGTTTAGAGTTGTTCATGATTGCGAAACGTTTTCAGATAGCTCAAGCCATCGGCGTAGAGATAAAGGGGAATCAATTATGCATTTAGACACTAATATAGCGCAACTGCCTTTGGCATGACCAGGCATAGGTACATGAGAATGCGCCGTTTTTTAGCCTCGGCCTTGACAGCAAAGATTGTCTTCTACTTATATATCTGTTTATTAACTTACCTAACTATTCATCCCACACATTGTACTACAAAACGACAAGGTCAAACGAGCAAGCAGAGACCACATTATCACGTTTAAACGGGTAGCTACTGTGTCCAAGTCCTTGCTCCTCGTGAATGTCCGTGACGATATGATAGATATATGACAGCATCGTTAATAACGGGTTGTTAGTTGTTATTGCGGTTAGAAATAGCAATCTGACAAGTCATCTATCAACCCTACGTGGCCCACTTTTGTCTTTCTTGTCTACTCGTTGAGTCGTTTACATTGGTGCCCACATATCTTAATTGCCAGTGTGCATTTCGCACTCCGATTGCCGTTGTTAACAAGAGGTTAGCAACATCAATGCCACATTCATCTCACAGATAACGTTTCGATTTTCGGCGCCCATATCTTGGCCCCACTAACATCCAGACGTCGCGTCACAAAGGCAGCGTTCCTCTCAGTGAGTTGGGACCGCCGCCCACCGGTACGCGCCGCTCACTGATCGCCCGCTTGGCGCCCTCGATCCGCATGTCCCCGCCGGATGTTGTGCAGCAGCCGGTGCAGCACATCATCCTCACTCCACACCAATGCCGGCGCCGACTCACGCCGCATATGCCGCCGCGCCGTATGTGTCGCGTGTGCGCCACCCGTCCGCCCTGGCTCCCCTGAATCTACCACCGAGGACAATGGAAGCTCTTCGGCGTCCAGCTGAGTGAGCTGTAGGTCTCCTTCATCCATGACGAACGTGGACGCGGACCTCGCGTTCTTGCGCGGCCCCTCCAGTTGGGGCGGGTCGGGTGTCTCCGGCGGATGCCAGACCAGGTCGGTGCTGTGCTGCTGCGGCGGCGCCGGCTGCGGAGGCGGGACCGGGTCCGCGGGACACACCTGGCTCACCGTGAACACTCGCGACGCCTGCGCACCGCGCGGCACCAGAGACACGGCGGGCACGGAGGCGCGTCTGCCGGGCGCCCGGCGCCGCGCCGGCCGGGACGCCGGCAGCAGCGGCAGCAGCGCCACTATAGCCAGAGGTCCTGACGGCGGCGGAGAGACCGGGGGACCAGGAGACAGCGGCCGGCACGGGTCCCGCGACGGACTGGGAGAGCGCAGCGGCAGCGGCTCCAGGCGTAACGTGTCATCTGAGACGGCGCGCAGAGTGGACCAGCGGTCCGGTGACGAATGTCCCGTTACCGGCCTCTCGGGCTGCAACACCTGCTGGTCCGCAGGCGCCGTGTGCTGCTCCGATACCGACGCGGAGCCATCCTTAGGATCACCGTGATCATCAAAATCGACACGTTGACGCGAGTCGTCGTCTTGATACACCTCATCATTGACTGCGCTCACGTCTGATACAATCGAGCCGTTCCAGAGAGGCGGGGGCGCCGGCTCGTTCGCAGGGGCTGGGGCCGGGACCTGGGTGGGTACCAGTGGCGGCAGAGGGCTCATGGTCAGTCTGGGAGGGGTGCGGCCGCTGCTGACCGGCCGCGACTCGAGGTCCCCGTCCCACAGTGTCGGCGTGCGCGGCGGCTCGTCCGGCGGCACCTCCGTTTGCTCCTCCGGCGGTGTCTGGAGACTCTGAACTCTGCAGCGACTGGCGCCCCCGCAGCCGCCGAGGCGCCACACCAGGAGGTGCGTGCCCTCAACGGTGGCGGCCAGCAGCAGCAGCAGTGCCAGCTGCACGGCCACCGCCAGCGGAGTGACCGTCTGGAGGAACACGGCCACCAGCGCCGCCTGGCCGGCCGCCGCGGCGCCCACCAGCAGCGGCACGGCGAGCGCCAGCAGCGCGACTCCGCGGCGCCAGGCGCCAGCGGCCAGCAGCGCGGCGGCCACCAGGCTGGCGCCGCTGACGGCCGCCGCGTGCCCGCTGGAGGTGCGCCAGCTGACGGCGCCGTCCGCTAGCCGCAGCGCGCTCAGCATCAGCGTGATGCCGGCGGTGGGCAGCAGCGCGGCCGCCAGCAGAGCGCAGCGCACGTGCAGCGGCGGCACCGAACACCGCCGCCGCGGCACCGCAGGGGCCGGCTTCATCCAGAGAGGTACTGCAGACGGC